TATGAATCACTAACTCCAAAATGACTCAGAGCAGGGAACGCTCGGCAGGCTGAAAGATGCTGTCTGTCTTGTCTGCTCCTATGTCCCGACACCCACACAGGCCTCCTGGGGGAAGGTGGCGGGCCTGCAAAGCAGTGCACACAAGGGCCCAGGATAAAGAGCAAGGGGTGAGGAGTGGAGAGAGAGGAGGAAGCAGAGAGAGGGGATGGCTAGACAGAGGGGGTGGGATGCTCTGCTGAGGAGGGAGGGGCCTGTCTCTGGACCACGGGTAAGAAAAGTCTGAGTAGAAGATGTGGTCGGTCTGGTCAGTGTCGCTGCTGTCTGGACTTGTGGCCCTGGAGACAGAGATAGTCAGCGTGTCCTTCCCTGGTTGGCATGTGGTTAGCACTGTGACCAGGCCGTACTTGGGCCACTGCCAGCTCCTGTCCTTGGTGAGCCTATACTCCTGGGACCTCACACCCTTGATTTTTAGAATGAAAAGTGACTTTGAAAGGGGAGTGTGAGGGGGTGGGGGGTTCCCTGGGGAGCTCCAGGATGACAAAGCCAGATAAGAGCTCTGGATCTTTCTGCCCACCCCCAAGAGATCTGGTGAGCCAGTGCTCCAGTCGCCGGGATGTAATCAGTAGTATTTACACAGGAAGCACCCATGAAAACCCCAGCGGGGGACTTGGTGTGGATGCAGGGCTGGGACAAGCATGCACCCCAGCGGGGTACTGTAGCCCTACCTGGCATCACACCTCTGTGGATTTCCCCAAATCAGGAGGGTGGTGCCTGAGTGTTGTGAGCTATTTTGGGGAAACCTCAGATTTAGCTTGTCAGCCAGAGGGCAGAGGCAACCTACAATGGTGATGGCGTCTGAAGAGTTTTATCCTGTGAGACTGGGCCCTGGCACTACGGATGTTAGACCAGGTGGGTCCAGAGGGTTGAAGAATCGGTTGTGGTCAGCAGTTGAGTGAGTGAAAACAGTTCCTCCATCTAAAGTCTTGCTTTAAGCACATGCACTCACAGTAAAATAGTGGAGTTGTTATGATAAAGCTCATGGGGACCTTGGCGCATTCCATGACAGACGAGGGTGACCAAGGCGGGGGAGGGGGGGCGGGCAAACATGCCAGGCAGACAGAGATTAGTGAGAAGTTTTATTAGAAAGGGAAAGGCGGGGAAGGAAAGAGAAAAGAGGTAAAGAGACATAGAGAACAGAAGAGAAGAGGGAGACAGGAAAAGTTTTATCTGCTCCAGGGGAACAGAGAGTGGGAAGAGAGCATAAGTGGGCAGGGGTCTTTCTTTTGATGGGGTCCTTTGCACTTGTGTGCAGATTATGCAACCATGGAACCCTGGGCTGACCAGGATACTGCCTGAGTACATTCTGCCAGGTGAAGGGGCAGGCCAGCATAATGCCTGAATCCTTGCAGGAGTCACTGAAAAATAAGGCAGGCTCATGTAGAGTTAGAGCTGGAGCCCACAGTTCTTCTAGAACAGACTCCACAAACACGAAACCAGAGACCCAGAGGGATGAGCCTGCATCCTGTTGATGCTCACAGTGGTGAAGCAGCTCAGTGGTCCATGGAGGAATGACTTGGTGAGTGATGCATGGTCCATCCACAGGAAGACCTGTCACTCAGACATGCTATGACATGGGAGGACCTTGAGGACACTGTGCTAAGTGAAATAAGCCCTCAGATGGTTCCATCCAAAAACTCAGATACCCAGAGACAGAGAGCAAGCTGGTGGCTGCCAAGGGCTGGAAGAATTGGTGTTTAATGAGGATGACAATTTGAGAAGATGAAACCATTTTGGAGCTGGATGGTGAGAAAATGCCTTTATAAGACTGGCCTGTCGTGGTGTAAAGGTGATGCTGCCAGGATTGACAGCCTGGATCTAAGCTCCGGAATCCACATTACAGAAGGAGAGAACTGACTTCCAAGTTATCCTCTAACGTCGACACTCACAACAGGGCATGTGTACATTTCTCTCCACATATAAAATAAAAATAAAAACAAAAAAATATAAATTTTTTTAAAGACCAGCCTGTATGCAAGTCTGTGGGGGTATTGTCTGGATTAATGATTGAGGTGGGAGGGCCCAGTGCATTGAGGGTAGTGCTACCCCTGGACAGGTGGCCCTGGATTGTATAAGAAACTAGGCTTGAGCAAGCCAGTAAGGCCCCCATGGCCTCCGCATCCGTTCCTGCCTCCAGCTGGGTTCCTCCTTGACTTCCCACGATGATGGACCACAGGCTGCAGATGAAATAAACCCTTTCCTCCCTAGGTTGTTTTTGATCATGGCGTTTTATCACAGTGATAGAAACCCTAAGACAAGAGCCATAAATTACCAGCCAAGGAGAGGAAGGAACAAGTGCTGCTCAGGGAGACCCACTCTTGCCTGGTTAGTCCAGCACGGTTTCATACTTAAACACGATGTCCTAAGTGGCTGCTTCCCCTGCTTCAGGTCCTATGATCTCAAAAGGACAGACACATATGAGCCACCAGCCTTGTTCACCTCCTATTGCTGTGGTGAGGCTGGACCATGTATAGGAACCGTGGTCATTTAGCTCATGGAGCTGGAGACAGTACCTCTGCGGGGCACTGGTGAAGTATCTGGCTATCTCCCAACATGGCAAATGCCATTGTGATGGATGTATGTGTGAAAGAAAAGAGTATATGGTGTATAGAAGGAGCCAGAGAACACAGGAGCCAGATTTGCTCCTTTTTTTTTTTTTTTAATAACAACTCATCCTGGATGGAAGTGGGGGCCAGAAAGAAGCCACCAATCCCTTCTGGGGCCAGTGCCCTATGACCTAAACACTTTCCACTCCTCATTACCGTCACCCCCTAGACTTCCAGCTCGTGAACCCTTTGGGGGCACATTCAAACCGCACCCAAACCATAGCAACAGCTTCTGCCAATAAATATGAAAATTTATAATGGACAAGTTCCCAGAAAACTAGAACTTAACCCAAAAGAAACAGTTGGAAAAGTTCTATGCCATTAAAGCAACCAAGTCAAGGGTGGGGAATCATCCCACCCTACTTCCCATTTGTCTTAGGCATGCTATCAGTTCCGGGTCTGAGAGGACTCAGGGAGCTCCATCTCCTGGTGCACAAGGAGCCCCCCATTTCATGTGTAATTTTAGGGGTCTTTGAACTCACCGAGCCAACGTGTTCCCCCATCCCATACTCAGGACCAAGCTCAGGGCTCTTAACTCTGGTCCTTGTCTCCAGTTCTAGCTCTCAAGAGGCCTGTGGGCTGGGTGCTCAGGGGCACCGTGCAGGGGGGAGGTGTGCAGATGAGGCAAGGGAAAGGGAACTAACTCTGGCTGGAGGAAGAGGCATGCCAAGGAGCTCTTCCCAGCACAGGAAGCAGGTTTATGTCAAAGGCTATGCTCCTGGTTATGTGGGCGGCTTCCCCCACTCCAGCTCTGCCCTTCTCTGGGTCCCACAGTACCCCGTATGCAGCCAGAGGAGCTGGAGGTCCCTAGAGTCCTGCCGCTGGTCTCCTATGCCTATCTGGGTATCTCATGGCGCCTTCCTGCTGCATGCTCACCTGATGTAATTGCACAGAGATCTCAATCACAGCTGTGCAAATAGCAGGTGTGGCCGGGCAGACAGAACAGCCTCACCAGGCTCTGTATGACTCTCGGGTGACAGCTTCCCAGGGACAGAGGGGTTAGGTGCAGGCAGAAGCCCCCAGAACCCAAGCCTAGAGAAGTTTGCATCACTCTTGGTTTCTCCCTCAAGTCCACCGGCAAACACACAGCCACTCACTCCCACCCTCAAGCCTCCGAGGAGACAATGAGGTCCTTACAGGGTGATGCTCAGATGTGATTTTGTGAGATGACCACTTTTTCTGAACCCACTGTCAGCCTTGCTCTTAGAACTCAGCCTGAGATCGCATCAGGTAGAGCTCACAGAGTGGCCTCTAGGGAAAGTCTCCACCCAGGACAATCTCTTGTCTTGTTGCATTAACTGACTTATTTTTAAAATTACATTTATTTATTTGTGCGTGGTGTTGGAGTCTCTCTCTCTCTCTCTCTCTCTCTCTCTCTCTCTCTCTCTGTGTGTGTGTGTGTGTGTGTGTGTGTGTGTGCATGCCATAGTGTGGAGGTCAGAAGACAAATTTTGGGATTTGGATCTCTTCACCCTGTGACTCTCCCAGATCACACTCAGGTCATCAGACTTGATGGCAACTGTCTTCACCCACTGAGCCATCTGTTCCATGCCAACTGGCTTTAATACTCTGTTTGTGTCATGATCTGTCCTGTGTGGGCACATCTGTGTGCCTATGTGTGCTACCGTGTCATTTACCCACTTGGCACCATCTGTGCAGTTACTCCTTTCAGGGGACCTGACGTATTGTTTACCTAGGACCACGTCAACCCCCTGCAGCATGGCTTTGAGGGACTGAGAGCTGGTTAATGAACACTCTGAGTCAGCAGGTCCATCTGGGGTGCACTGAGATCCCCAGGGCATGGTGGGGACGGCCTGGCTGGGGTGGCTGGATGATGACAGTCAGGGGAAGCAGGATAGGGAGGCTTAGGATGAGGGACAGCAGGGTTGGTAAGTTGGTGAGCTTTGAGGAATGGGAGGTGGTGAGGAGGAGCGGGATGTATGGATGGGTGATTCCATCAGTACTGTTTCACAAGTTCCATGGAATTTGTGCAGCTTTCAGAGTGGGTATTGTGGACATCCCCAAATTGAAGTTCCCCTTCCATCTCAGACCTAACTGTGCCCATACCTGGCTATCAGAACAGTGGGACCCCTGTCTCCCCACCACCACCACCACCACCACCTTGTTGTACAGGCTGCAAGCCCAGGGCTCCAGAGGGGCCGGCCTTCTGAGCTGCTTGGCTGGTCCAGAGGTCTGCACTTGCTGGCTCATGTTTACGCCTGAGCACATGCGCAAGAAGAACATGCTTCTTGGAGGCACAGCAGCACTCCCTGCAGCATCCTGAGTGCTCTCAGGACCTGCTCTCCAGGGGTCACAGAGGGCAGCCACTTCACTGACCTGAATCACGGTGGCCAGTCCCAGCTGAGACTGCTCCATGGAGTCCCCATCTTCAGGATTGCTGGATGTGGAGCTCATCCTGGGCAGGAGCACAGAATCTCAGATAAGCAGGGTGTGGGCTCCTCAACTGCCCAGTACCGTCCTCTTCCTCGTCCTCTGTGTGCCTCTCTCTACCTGTGTGCAGTACCTGGGGCCACTATGCTGGTTCTGCCCTGTTAATTCACTTGTTCCAGGGTGCCCAGCTGCCCCACCTTGATTGTGGAGACCACACGCCAAACAAGGCCGTGAGTGTTGCTGCGGCAACCAGGACGCTGAGGGCTGGGTTTCCCTGGAAATAGGAGTAAAGGCTTGTTGTGAGGACTAAGGAACACTGTTGGCCGAAGCTGTTTCCCTGGAGACCTGGAGTGAAGCTGACCTGAGGGAGGCCTCTTCCTAGAGCCCCTATTTACTGTCTAGAGAGACTGTTTGCTTGCTGACCACACCCAAAGGTGCAGACCACAAGCCCATTCTCCGAGATTCAGGGTCACAACAGACTTAGTTAATGTGGCAAAGAACTTTATGACCAGTAGTGAGATGCGTGTCATGGCTATCTAAGGATCAGGAAGGGACTAAGGTGGCTTCATCTTCTACATCCTTCCCTGTTGGAGCCTGCTCTGCAGCGTTTTCTGCCTAGGCCGTATAGAATTGCATCTCTCCCCAGTCATCCCGTTGGCACCGGTCTGGTTTGTAATCTTATCAGTACAGATTCTCAACCTACTTCCGAAGCCTTCTGAACTCAGCTGCAGCCTCTTTCTGTTCATCTATTCTGTAACCTATATATATATGCATGCAGATATAGAGATATTTACTGCATGCTATGTGATGTCAAAGTTGATATTAGTAATTAAAATTAGAATAAAAGAATCTGCCCTCACCTTGGGCCAGGTGATCAAGGAAGGCGGGATTGTTTTAAAAATTACGTTATTGAAACTGCTAACCCCGTGTACTTACTGCTATTCAATAAAATTTGACATGGAAATCACAAATGTGTTCATCTACTTTTCTGGCATAGCATGCTCATGACAAAGGGGCGACCTCAGAGTGTCCTAGGAATAGGAGGGCTGGTTTTCGGGGGGGGGGGCACCTGTTCCCTACTCAGGCCTACGGTCTGACCCCATAGTCAATCTCTGGATCCCAGGATGCACTCTACTAGCTGACAACCACTTGGTCCATCGTCCTGTGGGTTGTCTGAAAGGCTCTTGACATTGCTCACCAATTCACCCCTCCTGGCCATGTACAGGAGCCTAAGACCCTGTCTTTGCAGCTACCCTGGATGCTGGGGTTAGCCTGGGCTCTATGTGGTCCATGTGTACAGGAGCCTAAGATCCCATCTTTGCAGCTACCCTGGATACTGGGGTTGGCCTGGGCTCTATGTAGTCCATGAATGCAGCTTCTGGTCCAGGCCTATTGATAACAAGAATTTCATGGCAAACCCAGAGCATGTTCTATAAGGAGCCCTGCTAGATTGGCCATTGAGGATAGTGGGGCTCAGGAGGACCTTGTCCCTCATCCTAACAGACTAAACTGTTGGGCCCAGAACCCTGAGCCTCCTGTCCTGAAGTCTGAGAAGCAAGTTCCACCCTAGGTGTCAAGGACATGCTCTGTCCCTACTGTCCATCTTCTCAGCATGTGCTCCCGTCTGTGGTCGTCTGTCGGGCGGGCTGTTCAATACTTCTGTATTCAGAGGGAGACTCCTTTTCAGAGGGGCGTTTGTCACCATTCCCTCCTCTGTACCTGGAACCTCACCGAAAACAGCCCCAGGACATTGAAAACCCTGGATTTCCAGTTCCTTGGAGGGCAGCTCATAGCTCTTTTGTACTGAAGGTGAGCGTCACCATGGCTGGCCTCGGGCATGAATAGGCAAGACACACTGGTGATAGTGGGAGCTTAGCCGTGGTACAGTGAGTAGGGGTGTGGTGAGTCAGAGTGAGTACAGTGCCCAGGGCACTTGCCTGCCAGAACCCAGAGGGCATGCACTTTGGAGAGCAAAGGGGCTGCCACCCAGGTCAGCCCAGCCTCGGCTGCCCTCAAGAGTCACTCCTTATGAGCAATGGCTGCCACCTCTGTACCCATGAGTTCAGCACGTGTGCAGTCCACCCTGTCTTCAGGGCACAGAGTCACCAAAGGGACAGAGATGGCCACAGACAGCAAGTCAGATTCCAGAGCGATTCTGGCCAGACAGGCTCTCCTGGGGCTGTGAGGCCGCGGCCAGGACGTGGCCTACCTTTGTGCTCCCCACCCTCTTCACCACACAGGAGTTGTCCCTAGCATGAACCGTGCTTGGAGGATGTCAGAGCCCAACAGGACCAGGCATCAGAGCTGCTTCTGAGACTGAATGACACCATCCTCATTCCTGGTTGTTGAGTGAGGCGGAGAGGCCAGGGCAGGGTTGGGGTGAGGCTGTGGGCACCCAGCCACCACACAGAAGGTACACACAGGACCCTTCATGAGGACTTCTATGTCCCTTTCCTACTCCAGGAAGGTTTGGGTCAGGGATAGCAGATGATGGCATTCATAGGAGCAGTGGATGGCATAAAAAAGAGAGGCCAACAGTGTCTGAGGGATCTAGATGAGGAGGACCTGAGGGGTTCCCTGGGCACAGGAGAACCTCACTGTCTATGCCCTCAGTGCTCACCTTGCCTGTTCAGAGGACAGTTGTTGGATGGTCCTGGACAATGACTGCCAGTGTGGGTGGCTCAGAGACCCGGCCCTCATCTCCCATTCTCAAGGAATGGAGAACACTGACTACCAAGACACACCAGGAAGAGACTGGGAGGGCAGTCTGCCCTCAGTGACAGGAGAGGGTGTGGGGCTGCCGGTCATTCGCAGCTTAGTAAGGACCACAGCATACAGAAATGAGGAAAGTCCAGTGCACCGGATCTGGCTGTGATTTCTGGAAACAGCCATGCCAGCATGAACGTCAACAATAACAGACAAACTTCATCAACATTAAAGCGTTTCAGACCTAAGGACGATACTAAGAAAGAGAAAAGACAGCTCCCAGAATCCTATGTGAGAAAATACTTGCAAATCACCCATCTGATAGAGGAACAAAATTTAGAATGTATAAAAATTTCCAAACACTCAGCAACACAACACAACTGAAAGACGAGCCAAGAATGGGAATAGACACGTCTCTTGGGCACCTACAAAGGGCCAATAAGGCTACAAAAATGTTTGACCTTACTAATTGTTAGGGGGAAACTGCACCGATGAACGTCACACCCTTTAGGGTGGCTACTGCTAAGAAAGCAGAAAAGTATGTTGACGAAGACGAAGATTAACCGGAGGCCTCGGATGCTGCTGGAATGTGAAACGGTGAAGCTGTTTGAGAACAGCCTGGTACTTCCTCAGAAATCAAACGCATGCCACGTGATCCAGCAATTCCACGTCTGGGTGTGTACCCAGAAGAACAGAAAACAGAGATGGAGAGATCTGGCTGCCACGTTCCTAGCAACCGAGTGTCTGCTGGTGGGTGCATAGATAGGTGACATTTGCCTGTCCATACAGTAGTAGATGACGGCTCAGTGTTCAGCAGGAGGGACGTCCTGACCAGTGTGGTGCCAGGGACAGACGTCCTGACAGGTGCGGTGCCAGGGACGGACCTGGGGACATCAGGCTGAGTGCAGTAAGTCAGACAGTCACAACAAGACAGGAGTGTGCAGTTCCATCTGTATGAAGTTCCTAGAGCTGTAAGATCTGCAGACAGAGGCAACCATTCTCCCCTTTCGCTGCTGACGCTGGGGAGGAGTGAGTGGGAGGAGTGGAGTGCGAAGGGGGGGGAGGGGGGGAGGCGCAGCTAGTTAGTGTCTGTCTCAAGGTGACACAATTTCTGTGTGAGAAGACAAGAGTCTAGGCAGGCATGATAGTGCACACCTAGCACTCAGGAGACAGAAGCAGGTGGATTTCTGTGAGTTCAAGGGTAGCCTGGTTTGCATAGTGAATTCTAGGCCAGTCAGGGATACATAGTGAGACTCTGTATCAAAAAATAAACAAATAAATAAATAAATAAATAAATAAACCAAAGAAAAGTGAAGTTCTGAAGGTGGATGGCAGCAGTGACAGCCACACAGTGTGAACATTTTAATGCCACTTTAATGCATACCTTAATGTGGTTAAAATAATAAATGCTATGCTTATTTATTCAATAAATCCCTATGCAACCCCTAAACCCAAACCCAACAACAACAAAAATCTTTCTTGTGAACATGGAGATAAAGGGAGACCTAGCAGAGATTGCACCCCAAGATTCTGAACCCAGAACTGACCAGCTACCAGTCTGTCCTGGGCTGACCAGATGGCCCTGGGACAGGCAGAGTGGCCTTGTGTACCCTGTGTGTTGTGCTGACCCACACTTGTGCTTCCTTGGTCTGACAGAGTTCCCCAATACTCCTTTTCACACTTAATCTGGTGCCCCTCCCTATCTTTTGTGTCCCATGCTCCACTGAACAGGTGACACAGACCCCACACCCCCTCTTGCTCAATCTGTGGGTCGTGACCCCGGGGGAGGGGGTCAAACAAACGACCCTTTCAGAGGAGTCACACATCAGATATCCTGCGTATCAGACACTTACATTATGATTCATAACAGAAGCAAAATTACAGTTATGAAGTAGCGATGAAAATAATTTTATGGTTGGGGTCACCACAGCACACGGAACTGTATTAAAGGGTCATGGCATTAGGAAGGTTGAGAACCACTGTCCTTGTGTGACTGTAGACATCTGGCTTATCTTGAGATACAGCTTGGTGATAAGCACAGGGCATCCTGCTCAGCTCTGCTCTTGGCTGGGTGGCCACCTATAGCCACTGTGGTGTGGCTAGGGTTTCCTAGGCCTGCCTCCATGCTGGAGTGCATCCTGTTGGCTCCGTCATCCACTCCAGGTTACTATTGTCCCCCAGGCCACCCCCAGCTCTTTGTCTGCAGCTTCTGCACTTCCTGAGGAGAACTAGCCTCAGATGCTTGCTTACCCCACAGATGATAAACCTGGAGTTCTCCTAAGCACCCTTAGGTGGGCTGTGGGGCTGGTGTGTGAGCCAAAAATGGCTTCAGATGCTATGGGCTTTAGGTCACTAAGTTGTAGACAGTCACCTCTCTTGTTTTGATCCTCCTCAGTGGGCACTCCACTCATGGGGTGGGGGCAGACTGAGCAAATAAAACACATGTCTTTCCCACCATCCCATAACTTTCCCTGAAAGTTAACAGTGGCCATGCAGGCTGTGAATGCAGGGCACAGATAGCTGGGTCCTGGTGTGGTGGTATGCGTCACAGGAGGGGAGAGGCAGCCAGATGGCAAGGAGCATAGGCAGACCTTGCTCAATGAGTAGCTGGGTCTCCTGAGTGACTTTAGGGGACTTCTGCGAGGTTGTGTGGAGACTCCAGGCTTTTCAAGTCCACTGTGACAGGCTGACAACTGGTCACTTGTAGTGCCAGAGCGTGTATGTGGCCCTCACAAGGAAAGCACGAGGACTGGGGACTTCATTTGGTGGCCTTGGATGCCACCTCAATATTTCTCATAAGAGAGAGACTGGAGGCCGAGGAACACGGGGTAGGAGCTCCAGAGGATGGGGGCAGAGGCAGCGTGATGACAGCTAGATCCATAAGAAGCCCACGATGCCTCTTGGAGCCTTCTGAGGGAGCTCAGCCATTACTGTGGCCCAGGGCTTCCAGCCTGTGTGCCCTGGAAGCCAGGTCTGCTATGGAGAGCTGGTAGCCAGGGAACTCACAATGACTCTGGACAACAGCCACGCAGAGTCTGCAGCCTTGTGTGAAATGCTGAGGCGGTGTGGAGCTTGCACCTCACACTGAGATCCATTTCAGGCACTCCATTCAGACTGGAATGTCCCCTTCCTGCCAGCCCCTCCCAACGCACTTGAGAGTCCCCGAGGTACAGAATCAGCGTACCTGTCCCTGGGCTACATTGGGAGGTTGAATCAATCGATACGTTTGTGATTGGTCCAAGTCACCAAGGCCTTGTGACACCCATGGGCTCTGACCACTCCGATTCACTGTCCCCTCCATTTCCCCTATTTTACATATTACCACTCTGGGTCTGCAGGGTGGTAGGCTTGGGTCCTTCCTGTGGGTCCCTTCAAAGTCAAACAATGCCACCAGCTCCATCTTCCTCTCTCTGCTGCTCCCTCTGGTGTCCTTAGACAGAAGCAGAGTCCAGGCCAAGCTCTCCCCTGGTTGCTTCTCACAGCACTGTCCATTCTGTGGACTGACATCAAGACCAGATGTGGCACACACAGAGCCAGAGGGTGACACTGCCCCAGCCACAGGAACTCACTATGGTTTTTACCACCCTCCAGAGAGACCATGTAAGGAAGGACAGAGTTCTGGCCCGCTGGGCACTCCAGGTCACAGAGGGGAGGGGCGGCAGAGAGGATGAAAGCCACACCTTACTTGGGGTGGCTTGGTCTCCTGGGTGACTTGAAGGGACTTCTGTGAAGTTGTGCAGAAAAGCTGGGAGAGTCCAAGTCTGAGCAGGAAGGAGCTGTATGGCCTGGCTGCTCACCCTGGCTCAGCAGGGCCCAAGGCTCACAGACCACAGTGCTACGGGTGAGCTGTGGGAAGAGCAGAGGCGGCACTCTGGAACCTGGGCAACTTTGGAGAGAGTGAGCCGTGTGCTGGGCAGCCCAATAGACAGCTGACCAGGCTGGAGGGAAGCCTGTCTCTGTCATGGAGGCTGACAGAGGCCTGCCTACAGGTTGCAACCCCCCCACCCCCCGGAGGCTCTGAGCAGCCACTCCAAGAAGGGTGGTCTTTCCTATTCTATTGCTTGGTAGCTCTGACTTAGTGCAGGTGGCTGGGGTCTGAGGCCGTGCGTGGTATGGCTGTGGAGACGGCATCTCTCTGACACCCGTGGGGTTGTCACCTTGTTGGCTGTTTGCAGACTAGAAGCTGAGCTGCCTCTGCAGTGGGGCTCCTCTGAGGGCCAAGGGTCGCTAGGGGCGGCTCCCTCCTGCCAGTCTGGACTTGCACAACACTGAGCAGGGAGGAGGCAGTGGGCAGGGCACGGGCAGGTGGCTTGTAGGGTAAGACTTTCCAGCCATGAGGCGGAGCCAGAGGCTGCTTCTCCTAGAAGGCAGCAGCTCCTGGCCAGGTGTGTGCTAGCTCCTCTCAGGGAGCCTGGAAGGCAACTATATGGATGGTGAATGGAGGAGGATTGATTTATACTGGTGTCTGGGGAACGCTTAGGAGATACTGCTCAGGTCTGGCCTGAGGCTTATTCCTCTGCAAGCTGCCTTAGAGAGGCCTGGGCCCACACAGGTCTGGCAGCCATTGCCTTCCCGTCTGAAGCATGGGAAGGGAGGCTGGGCAAGGGCGGCCCATTTCACAGAGGCACTGTGAGTAGCTTTTGGGCTGGGGCGGGGTGTGAAGTGTTGTATACACACACCCTCCTCCAGGTTGGGTCATTATGTTTTGAAGTAAGATTGAGGAGGGAGGAGAGTGGTAAGCAGCTGGGCCTCCACCTCCCTGGACAGCCCCCTGTGATACTCTTAATTGTTAGGTACTGACTCACCTCACTTCAAAGGCCTTGGCCTGGGTTCAGCTATTTAACCTGCTGCACGGAGCCTGTCACTCTGGAACTCTGCCCATGGGGAGCTGAGCTCTGCCTGCAGACCTGCTCTTCACCTAGGCAGGTACCTCTTCCTCCTAGCCAGTCCACACCAGCTGAAGAGCAGTCCCCAAGGGCCACCAGGGCCCTGCTGCCTACTGCTCAGGGATGCCGGCCCCCTGTCTCTTTGCTCCAGACATGACCGAGCAGCTGTCCTTGTGGCATCACTACCTGCTGGCCATCCAGTCACGGGAGTCACCCCGTGTCCAGGACTACCAGAGAGCGGAGAACATTCTGCTCACCGTGCTGGAGCGTGCCCACACCTTGGACCCTCGTTTCCTTGTTGACTATTCCCGAGACCTCGAAGCCTTCCAGTTTGCCCTGCGCTCCTCCGAGGATCCTCTGGACGTGGAGGTGCCTCTGGGGGTGGATGCTGAGGCTCTCCTGGTTGAGGAGTCAGAAGCCACTGAGCCAGGAGATGGCCCTGCACTCTGTCGCCTGGGTGTCCTCAAGGAAACATCTGGCCTGAAGCCATGGATGACTGATGACGTCTTCAGTGTCTCCTCAGAGGGCAGAGACAAGTGCTGTAGTGGCCACATTGTACCCAGTAAAGTCCTGTGTGTCCTTAAAGATCTTCTGGTGGCTGCTATTGTTCACTGCAAGCACCACAGCCTCATTCCACCAGGTAACAGCATGGGGAGTGGAGGGCACTCTGCACTTAAGTGCAGTGTGTGTGTGTGTGTGTGTGTGTGTGTGTGTGTGTGTGTGTGTGTGTTTTCCCTTGCGTGTGAGTGCAGTGTGAGTTGTCATTTGTGTTGGGGGCCCCTGTGAGCCAGAAGACTTACTGTGGCCCCTGAGCACCCAGCATGTCTGAGAAAGCGGGTTGTTAGTCACGTGTTTCTGCACGGTGATTTGCTGAAGACATTTTAATGGATGTCGCTTTTATAAACGTCTGGAAGTTTAGAGCAAGCCTGCTGTTCTGTTGGCCAGCTTGTTGCATAGGGTCTCTGGCAGGGTCCTGGAAAGTCAGGCTGTTACCTGATGCAGTCTGTGGTGGTGACGCTTTACACCTGCCCCCACTTCAGCCACAGTCTCAATCCGTCAGACTGTGTGTGAACATGGCAACGCCTGAGTCTGAGTCAGGATGTAAACACATGTTAGTGTGCACACATATGCGTATGGGGATGTGAGCAGACATGAGTGTGCGTGTGAATACATACATGTGAATGCATGCTTCCATATACACAGGCATGTGTACACCCCTGTTTCAATTTATGACTCAGTCGATAGCTTGGAGACCCAGATGGCTGTGAGACTGGGTATTTTCAAATATGCCAGGGGCCCAGCCTCAGTCTCTCACTGGACATCTTGCTTAAGTAATCTGGGGTGTTGGAGCCCCAGATGGGTGGGGCTCCCAGCAAGACCAGAAGCAGCCAGTCTCTTTACACAAAGGTGGCTTGAAGGGTAGGTACAGCCTGTGATGAGCAAGGACATTGGGGACCTAAGTGACGATGCTCACCCTTGGGTTCAGGTATAGGGCGTTAGGTGGCTAGGGCACTGGAGGCCAAAACGGAGTGTCCTGTTTCCTTGGGAGGAGACGGACACATGATGGTGGTAGTTGCTACTTTCTCATATGTTTGTCTTCCCAAGTCAACTTCCTGGTATTTGAACTGTGTCATCAGTGAGTGGGGTAGGTGTCTCTCCTAGAGGGCAGTAACATTCCTGAGATCCTTAGTGTGTGGAGTCCTGGTCTGGCTGCATGTCCAGGGACCTTAGATCCTGGGATAGTGGACTGCTGTTTCTTCTCATGCTTCCTAGGGCTCTGGGGAAGGGTGTTTAGCAGAGCCACAGCTAGACATCTAGGTCGAAGTCTGGGCTGCAGGATTCAGGAAGCCCTTGGGCTCTTAGACTTCCAACACCAGGAGGTCAGCTTCTGTGGACAGTCACTCCCAGACCTGCCAGGCCAGGTGTCCTGGAGCAGAAGACTGACCTTTGGGTAGCTAGAGACTGTCATTAAGTGTCTGGTGTTTTGTAGCGCCTCCAGCATCTTACCTGGTCATCTCTTGAACCGTCTAATTCAGCAGGACCACTTCTGCCTTCTTGGTTGTCCTAATATAGCCAGTGCCAGCTGGCCCTGGCTTCTGCAGGCCCACTATTTTGCTGAAGCACAGACCCATGGGGCAACTAGGAGACTTCCAAGTTACGGGCCATCAAAGACCATCCAAACCTCTAGCCCCCACCTTGCATACTCTGGTTGCCTCCTAGCTGAGAAAGGAGACCACCCCTTTACCCCCACCCCCCGCCCTGTCTAGGCCCATTCCTGCTGCCATGGCTGAGCTGGGCCCATGGGAAATTCCAGGCATTGCTTCCAACACATTCCTTAAAAGGGAAGCTATTGCTGGTGACAGGGTTCAGGTATCCACTCCTGGAACCGGTGAGACCAGCCAGGTCTGGCTTAGAGGTAGCCTAGTGAGAACAGGTGTGGCTGGCTGTCTTCCAGGCTGCCATTTCACAAATAAAAATGTGTAACTAGAGGAATACAAGCAGACATCTGAACGATGAACTGAGAGCATCCCCTCCCGATTCATGGGGAAACTGAGGCTCCTGTGGGATGGAGAATTCCAGAGGCTGCCTCAGAGTTCTCCTGCAGATGGTGGCAACTGAAAAGATACATTAGAAGGCCAGGTCTTTCCTTGCAATGGAGGCCCTGGTACAAGGCTTGTGTTCGGGAACAGCTCCCGGAGGGTTGACTGCTCTGGCCTCTGACCCAAGCCCCTAAATAGACGTGGGAGGATAGTGCTGGGGTAGAGGGGGAAATGGTGTGGTCTCTTGGCCATAATGTGTCATTCATGAGGTGATGGAGGTAGCCAATCTCTGGAGTGGTAAGCAGACATAGACCTGGTTGTACAGAGTGTTCAGGCTTATCCTGGATTTCTGGGTCATGGCAGCCTGGAAATGGGGTCATCCAGTACCTCCTCCCAGGATGCCAGGGTCTTTCCCAACACCGACAGTTCTCTCCCACAAACCTGATCCTAAGCTGTTCCTGGCCTTTGCTGCCCAGGCCAGCCCATATGGTATGAGGACCAGCATGCATGCGTGCATAGGGTGGCTCTGAGCTGATATGTCAGGCAGGCTCTTAGTGTAGGGGATGAGATGGGCACAAGCTCACCAGCTCATTAGGAGAGGTCCAGCCTGGGGACGATCCCCCCAGCTTTGTTTCTTCTCATGTGGGCTGGGCTATCATGTCTGTTCTTCCTGGCTACAACTGGCCGGAAGAGGGATATGAATCACTATAGGTGACACCATAGTTAAGGCTGTCCTTTAGAGTTGTCAGTGTCTAGGAGTACAAAGTCCCTGGAATGGGGTGCTGTACCCAAGAGCATCCCACTGACCTTCATTCAAGATTGAAAAGGTTCAAAACGAAGCAATGTAAATCACAGCCATCCAGAAAAGAGCTGCAGGCTCGGAGCTGCCCAGGGTGTCAGGGGAACCTCAGCAGCCCAGCTCTTCACACTCCAGCTTAAGCAGCATCTATGTCCAGTGTTCTCCCCTGGGACCTGCTCTTTCTCCTGGCTTTAGTCTGGACACTGAATGGAGCTGATCATGGGCAGAGTTGGAGGCAGGTCCACAGGTCTAGGAGGTGTGGGCAGCAGGCTCAGGCAGCGAGACCGAGGGAGGGACCCAGCAGAGAGAAGGCTCATGAAGGAGGCTGTTGTTATGAAGGAAGCCGTGACATCGCTCAGCTGGCATTGCTCCATGAAAGGGGTTGTGCAACTGTTCAACATGGATAGGCAGGAAGGGGAGCAGAAGATAAGGGGAAGGACAGACATGACAGCAGGTGGGTGTCCCAGACCAACGCAGGGTTAGGCCCTGAAGAGGGGAGCTAGATTGATGGCAGGTTGTTGCAGGTTCACTGAATGCTGCTAGCCTGAAGGAAGGGCAGCTGCACCTGTCCCTGCTGGTGTCCAGTGGCTGGAGGAAGATCTGCTTCAACGTTGTGCCTGTGGTGAGGAAGAAGCACAGGGTGCCTGCCTTGGAGGGGGCCCAACTGAAGCCTGGTTTCCCTGAGGGCATCTTGAGAAGAATCGCCAGCCACGGGGTGGACCTGGTGCCAGCTAATGCCCAGCACTGGAGGTAGATGCCACTCTGGACCTTTGGGTCCTGAGGGAAGGGGGAAACACCTTGATGCTCCCTGAGCCCCATACAGGAGGCTCTGAGGGGTTCTCGCCTGCTTCTGGCCTGTGGGCATCTGTGCCATGCTAAGGTTACTAGAATACAGTAGTAGTCTTGGGAGGAATTCTAGCGTTAACAATTCACAGAGAGCGCCAGGGAGGGCTGGGCCATCTTCTGCACAGGAGATGGCCAGTAGCATAATGCTATGACGAGATAAGCACTGTGAAAGGTGGTGTGGGAGAGGCCCCTTCAGCAACAGCCAGGTAAACACTAGCAGAGAGGTTGTCTAAGGTCCCCACACAGCAAGGATGCTCACACAGCAAGGATGCTCAAGGATGCTCACACAGCA